ATCTCTTTCTTCAAGCACCAGCACTTCGCAGCAGGTTGAATGTCTCCCATGACTTTCTGCTCTTTATTCAAAGGCAGGATACAGGGCTTGTATTGAGTGCTGTCACCAACACAGAGATCTGAATCACTTTGGTTTCTTGCAGGGACATCTTTGAGAGGGTCATACACCTGAGCCTGGCACCAAAGAAGATGAAATTCTTCTTTAAACGCTACCTGGATTATGAGAAGAAATTTGGTACAACAGAAAGCGTCCTGGCTGTTAAAAGAGCAGCACTTGAGTATGTGGAGACCAAGAGTTCCTTTGCTGACACCTAAGTACAGTGCAAGTAAAAGCCGAGAGACTCAACTCTCCATGCAGTGTGGGAACTGAGAGGTGTGGACTGCTGCTGTGAGTGTCCGTGGACAATGAGTTTCTGGAGAGTATTGGTCTGTGACCAAACCAAACTGGAAAGAACAAACAATCAAAGGAAAAGATTTGATAAATATTTGCAGCTTCATCCAGATGTTAAAAATATTCCTAGTCTGTTGCTGACTTGGAAGATATGTTTTTAAATACAGACTGTCTTATAATCGACACAAACATCAGCCATACCTGTTCTACTTTCCCGGGGAAATGGTGCAGTCATCACTGTACTTAAAAATAGTGGGTCATGTCTTACAAATTGATTTCTCTCTCTGTCAAGACGGCAGAGAAGATTCTTGCCTCTCAGCTGAGTTAACACTTCAAAAGATTTATCTCAAGTGCCTTTGTGTTCCTAGAAGTTGGTAGAGCAACGCAGAATTGTGGCATAGTTGAGGTTGGAAGGGACCTCTGGAGATCTGGTTTGAACTAGACTAGGTTACTCAGGACCATGTCCAGTTTGGTTTTGATTTCTCCAAGGGTGGAGACTCCACAACCTCTCTGGGCAACCTGTTCCAGTGTTTGACAATGTTCACAGTAAAAAGAGTGTTTTCTTACATTTAAATGGAAGTCTTGTCACTGAGCACCACAAAGAAGAGTCTGGTTCCACTTTTTTACATCCTCGTGTCGGGTATTTATACATGTGGATAAGATCCACCTTGAGCTTTCTCCTCAGGCTGAGCAGCCGCAGTTTTCTCAGCCTCTCCGTGTATGATGGATGCTCCAGTCCCATAATCATTTTCCCGTCCCTCTGCTGGACTCGCTCCAGTAAGCCTGTATCTCTGCTGGGGAGCCCAGTACTTGACACATCACCCCAAATGTCTCACCACTGCAGAGTAGACGGGACGGATGACCTCCCTTAACCTGCTGGTAATGCTCTTCCTAATGCAGCCCAGGATGCTCTTGTCCTTTTCAGCTGAAAGGGCATATGCCTTTAAAGCCCACAGCATCCAGCTGCGATGATCCCCTGATTGCAACCGTCTGTCATAACAAGTTGTCAGGAATTGATGACAGTGATTTTCAGTAGTTGTTGTCTCTTAAGAGAAATCAGTGAAGTCAAAGAAAAAAGTGTTTTTTCTGTGCAGAAAAAAAGTCATCCCAATCTAACCTGCTTGGAGAAAGCCAGGTATCTTGGGTACTTACGTAGGCTCTGTCACTGGTGTCAGTGCCTTATGACCCATATTCTTGTAACTGCAGTAAGATGTGGCTGTGATCACGCACATGTTTTACAGATGAGGAACTGAAGGCAAGGCAAAAAGCAGAGTATGTGAGCTTGAAGAGTCTTACTTGTAGGTTCTCTGAACTCAAAACCAGAGCTCTGCAGGACTCAGCTCTTCTGCCTCTGTGAATGCCCAGTGTTGGCAAGGCTGAATGATTCAGCATTTAATTCATTCCCAAGTCCGTTGGGATCCTGAAACAAGTCATTTCACTTCTTGCCCCCAGGAAGAGCAAGGTACTGTACTCAGATTTTTCTTAATGCTCTTCTGGAGGAAGAGGCTGCTTGCAACATCTAGTAGCAGCTGCTGTTTTTCTTTAAGAACAGAACTGCAACGATGGTGGCTTTTTCTTTTGGATTAATTAGTTACATAATAGAATACGTAAATAAGCGTTGCAATAGAAACCAAGATCCCTTTGAGGTATTATTTCTTCTTGACTACTGGGGCTATTATAGTCTCTACAGTAGTCAACAGGGAAAATGAAAGACCTGTGTGTAATTCTCCATACCGGAGGAGCCTGGTTTGAACCCATCTTGCTGCTGGGAAGTGTTTCCTAACTGGCAATCTGTAGGCTGCTCTGCGATGGGGTTGTTTTCAGCCTCTGGAGGAAAAGCAGAGAGGCTGTGAGCTCGCAGCTTGCATGATCTGGCATGCCGGGAAGACAGGCAGCTCCATTTCCCTCTTGGCGTTTTAGTGAGAAGCCTAGCCCAGTTGCTTGTGCTGGTGTGTAAAGCCACGTGGGTTAACATCCCTCACCTCAGCATCGTCTCTGGGAGAGGATGAGCGACAGGGATAGCAGGGATATTCGTGACGGTGCCCATGGGCTACAAGGGCCAGAAGTCTCAGCGGGGGCCATTCTCAAGGTGGCACAGGAGAGGAGTTAAAAAAAGTCCCTACAAGTATTTCTGAGTGTGGTGGCTTGCTCCACTCCTCATGGTCAGCTGTTCACTCACATGTGCCTCTCCAACAAGAAGGAGGAAGAACGGACAAGCTGGACAAACGTCTAGCCCATCCCAGCACATGGAAAGTGGCTGGAGCTAATGGAGAAGGGAAGGGAGGTAAACTGAACAAAAGCTGGTTTGCGCTCATGGTTTATTAGGATAACCAAATCCACTCCCAAGCATTACGTGTCTTGCCCCTTTCCTTGAAATGAGGGAGAAGGAACTGAAGTGGAGGTGGTTCAAAGGAACAAGTAGGACTATCAAGGAGGAAGGCAAGGGAAGTAGAGGAAGTGAGAGGAACGCTGCTTTGTTTCAGCAAGTTACCTTGCGTCTGCTGACCTGTGTGCGGGGGTGGTGTGCATGTCTGCATGTTTGCACTCGAGGGCCAGTGAGGAGAAATGCAAATGAACTTTCTTTCATCTGAAGTTAATGCAATTTCATTTAACTTGCATCTGATCATTCCTGCAGATTAGTTGATGGTGAGGCTGGAAGGCAAGCCTCCCCACACATGCAAGGCAAATCTGTAGAGAAGCTGAACAGGGATCCTGGGCTGCCTCGCCCATTAAACGGTGTTCCAGTCTCTTTGCATGAGATAAGACCCTCCAGCTCCTTCTTGCAAGGGGACATATTTGTAAAAAGGTTTCTAAAGATGTTTTCCATCCTTTGCTGCAATTGTGTATCCTGATGTACAAGATCTGTGCTACTTGCTGCAAAAATAACTAAAAAGCAGTGTTACTAACTTGTAATATGTGTAATACTTTAAAACTTTACATTCTGGGATCATCTCAATAGGAGAGAATCTGAATGTTTAATAGAAAGAAAAAATAAGTTCCTAGTCCTTGAGTTCAAAGAGAATGTTAAATTATGCCTTTTGTGCCCCTCCCCCAAAAAAAACCCTCAGACAGCAATGAAAAATAACTCTCATTTAATAATTTATTTCAAATCTCCTTGTGTGTAAGCCCCTCTGGGTTCTGTGGGTTTGAGTCGTTTTTTGAATTGGTAAACGACACAGTATAAAAGGAAGTTGTACCTATAAAGAAACAGTACAAGTAGGAAAACCAAACTTCATTGTCCTGCCAACTCTTGAAACAGTGTTGGGTGCGTAGGGCTGATGTCCGGGAGAAAAGGGACTGTGCAGTGGCAGAAGAACGGCCTTGAAGCCATAGTCAGCACAGCGTCATGGTGAAGGCGGTAATTTTACACCTTCCTGGCTTTGCTTTCTCAGAGTATGGCCAAGTGCATAAAAGAGACCTTCTGCCGCAGGGACCATTTAAGACAGTGGAAAGAGTTTAAGAAAATTCAGTGGTAGAAGGATAGGGAGTGGGCTGCTCCTCTCATCCTGTTCCTACTGCCCCTTGTCACTTTAGGGCTGCAGTCCCAGTGCAGCAGATGGGTGCATGTAATGTGGTCTTTCGGCTGGCAACTTTCTCGTCCCCTTTTCCTCCAAGAAAGATGCTCCATTAATACAGCTAACTAACTACAATTATATAGTATATATATACACGTATATATACACATATATGTAAAACTAAATCTGGTTGAGGTCTTGCTGCAACTTGCAACCCAAACAAACAGGACTCTCATCTGACAGTTGGATGAAAAATGCAATGAACAGTGGTGTGGCTCACTGCGGGTACTGCTTCTTAGCTTCAGCCGAGCCCAAAAGCTATTCTGCTGATGGTGCCATCTTCTGGGTTTATAAACTCATGGTTGCCACCATTTGGGCTCATTAGCTATTGCCAGGCACTTCAGTAAGAACAAAGGGAGTTCGGTGTCCTACCCAAATTCCAACTTGGTAATTACAGTGCCTTTCTGAATACTGGGAATATTGGTAATTCCTCCTGCCTTAGTCTCTCACTTATTTGGTGTGCTGCTGTATTACTGACCCATTCCTTCCCAGGCGCTATTGCATCCCCCTTGCCACAGGAATTTACCCACTGCTTCCCTCTTTTCCCTGTGCTGTAAAGTCTGTAAAGTGCTTCGGGACCTGCCTGCTTAACAGACACCGGACAACTCCATAAGAAGATACCAATGTCAATAAAACAAGGAGGTGTGCGGGATGGCTGGGGCTAAACCTGCCGTGTGGGAGACAAGTGGGACTGCAGGAGTCATGGTTAGAAATGTGACCACCTCTTGCTCCCCAAGGCTTCTGCTGGTGCATGAGACAGCAGGGTGCTCTGGCAGCCTGGAGGTAAGGCGTGTGTCTGCTCTTTGCTCCCCTTGTGCCTCTGGGAGCAGCAACGAGACGACTGTTTCCATGGGAGGGGTTCCCCAGCTCAGTGTATTGCTTATCAGCCTCTACCTTGAGGCTGTTGATCCCTATTTACCCGCTGAGAGGAGTAATCCTGCTGGGAGGAATATTCCCAGTGAATCCCTCAGCCGCGCACCAATAGTGGTAGGCCTGCCAGGTAGTCTGGGGAACTGCTGCCAGCACTTGTATGTCTTAGGAAGCTAAAAAGAGCATTTCATGACCTTCTGGGCTTGGCCCGTTCCCTTCCACCCCTTTGGCCCATTTGTGGAGCCGGCTGTAGAGAGGGAAGCCTTTGTTCTCCCGGTAGATGTAGACACCTGTAATGGCATTCCACTGGGGGCTTGGCTGGACGCCCTCCACCGGGAACTCCTGCACCAGCTCTTTCTCCTCCTTGTCCAGTGCCACAAAGCCAAAGAAGTGCTTCACGTTCTTGGCTGCCAGAATCCTGGAGTGGACCTCGGCTGTGCGTCGGGAGAGCTTGTCCTCATTGGAGCGGTACTGGGCCCAGTAAGCCTCCTGCCGGTAGCTCAGTGGTGAGCAGCAGTGCTTCAGGCACTTGGTGAGGAAAATCAGGACTGCAACGATGCCGATGAGCAGCCAGCCGAAGAGCTGAGAGAGAAGAGAGAGGCTGCGTTAGGACACGGCAAGGTGGTCTTACCCACTCCGTGTGGCTTTCTTCCCGGTGTGCCTACCTGGGACTCATATCTCAGCCTCCGTGTCACCTCGTCCCTGAACTTGGTGAGGTTCGCTGGCACATCTTTACAGGGGAACCTGGCCAGCACATCGGCCCCATACTCGGCCGGGAACTTGTCCAGGGAGGATGGCCTGACAAACTCGCTGAGGGCGCAGATGTAAGCCTCCCCACGCAGCAGTGAGATGACTGACCAGGTGACAGGCGCCACAGCTGCCCGGCCCATGATGGAGCCAAAGAGGAGAAAGGTGGCAGCAGCAGAGAAGTTCTTGGTGCCACGCTTGTGGCACTCGGCCACCAGGTTCCAGGTGTGGTTGTTCCAGATGACGCCGATGAGGAAGAGGGCCAGGGCTGGGACGCCGATGGCAGCCAGCCCATAGATGTAGTTGCGGGCAGGGGAGCAGGGGCAGTTGAAGGCAACGACCGAGAAGAGCTCCTCGCTCCCCACTGTGCCCAGGGCCACCAAACCATTGAAGATCATCACATCTTTGCTCTTGAAGAACAAGGAGAGGAAGCGGAAGTTCTCGGCAATGAGGGCAGCCATCACGTCCCAGGGTCGAGAGGAGGTGTGTACTGCAGTGGGAAGCCGTGCTGGTCTACCTCGGAGCACCGAGGGACACGCTGATGGGGGCTGAAATGGCCTTGGGCCAGCTGATGTGCAGGGGGCTGCTCCAGGAGCACGACACTGTCACTGCTGTCCCCTCCTCCCGCTTCGCGTCCCAGCCTCTGGAGCTGGTTGCTGATACCACGGATACTTCAAAAGGGTCTGAAGAGGGATTCAGGCTGTGCAGCGAGGGAAATATCAGTCATTTCAGTTTTCCACTAGCCCCTCCCAAAGTGTTTCTGCAGGGCAGATTACCAACGGGACAGCTGTTTCTGTCCCTGTCATTTGCACATTCGTCGCCTTTCTTTCTCTTTGGTTTTAGTCACCTCCCGCAGAGGCGATTACTGTCAGCATCGCTGCCGGACCCTCTGATCTCCCAAGCCTGCAAAAAAGGAGGACGGCCGCATTACTGGGGAAACTGGACCGGAGTGCTGGCATTGGGATGCGTCCCCAGCCCTGCTGCTGACTCACGCTAGCCCAGGCACATGTGGCATGTGCGTGCTGGTGCTGCGCTCCTTTGCAAGTGCTGTGGGTTTTGCCTCCCTTTTTTAGACCTGATGAGTTAATATTTAGTAATAAGCAAAGGTATGTCAGGGAGGCAACAAGAGGTGCTGCGAGATGGCCCAGCAGGTTTGGGGGCAGGGAGATGGATAGGACCAGACAGGAGCAGCCTCTGCTGATAGGGGGGAGGGGATGCTCGTGGACTCTTGCTACCTACTAGAGAAGTTACTTTCTGAGAAATCAAAGCTTATCTTGATGACCCAGGATGCAACCACCAAATGCCAACAGAGCTGGGTCAGCAATTATGTAGGAGTTTTTGCTAGGATTAGGTGTGGCAGTATGATCTCTCTCTCTCCCACGGCTGGTTGACATAACCATGCTCACCGTCCCAGCCCGCAGTCCTGGCTCAGCCTCTAATCGCTGGCCTGAAATTGAGCCCCTCGACCAGCACACCTTCGTGCCAGAGATGCACTTCACTGCCCTTTGCCTGTGCAGCTTCTTCCAGCACCTTTTCCCAGTACAACACTGGTTATACTGGGATGCCCACCCCACCGACAGGGCTGGGCTGTGTGGACTAAGGCACTCAGGACCAAGCAGGGGCAAGCATTTGCCCCGACTTTTTGAAGGACAGGGAAATAATTGGGGAGTGCAACGATGCCCATTCCCCCATGCCACTTGCAACCTGCATTTAATTAATTTCTCAGCTGACTTCCCATCTGCGCTGCATCCCCACAGGGTTTCATCTCGGGAAGCCCCAAGCACCTTGATGGCTCCAGGAACCCTCACCCATGTGATGAAACCCGCTGGCCTCAGGGGAACTGCTGTCACTGGGGTTTGCTGGAGACAGGAAGGACCCAGGCACCCAACTAACCGTCCCTGGCAGCTTGCAGCACCGGCACACATGCGCAGGAGCTCTGAACCACAGCAGGGCTGCGCTGAAATCTGCCCCAATGCTGGCATCTCCCAGCTGGGAGGAAGGCTTCCCCAGGCCAGCCCCAGCTGCAGGGAAGAGGCTCCAGGGACATTCATGCAGAGGAGACAAAGGCACTTTAATCCTTATGGTCTCTTGTACAAGGCTTGCTCATGCACTGGGCTTTAAATCACACCTACGCTTTGGTTCATCTGCTGCCCCACCAAATCCTGTTTTACCCCCTTCTTCTGTGGGGCAGCAGAAGGGAAAGGGGGCAGAAAGTTGGCCTGGGTTCCCGGCTGCATCTAATCCGTGGCAATCCCTTTAAAGTCACGCTGTGATATTGCTGACTTCAAACACAAGCAGCCCTTAATGTCTTCCTCCATCTTCCCTGTTTTCCATATGCAAAACTCCCCTCCTCAAAGGAGACAGACAAGCCAAAAACTGCAGCCATGTGATGGGGAGCCAGGCCCCCCCACTCTGGCTGCCACGCTTTGTGGTACCCCACATTTGCAGCCAGACGTTAAACCAGCAAACTTGTTCTAGTGCACGGGGTTCAAAACCTTGTTGTTAGAGTTACCAGCAAACAGCCCTGATAAACAAGGCCCTGCGACCGTCCTGAGAGTGTTTGGCAACCAGCAAAGCAAAAAATAAGAGGAGCCGGCAAAGGGGAGTATGCCATTTGGGGGGGGGGGGGGTACCCTTCCTCTGCTAGGAGTTATGGTGCCTGTCTGGGAGAGAGGGGTGGGGAAAAGGGGAGGAGAAAAGTTTTTTGCAGTGGATCATTTTTTAGCAGCCTCTGTTAAAAGTTTTCCCCTGAAACATGCATGAAAGCAAGAAAAAAATGAAGTCACTTACTTCAAAAGTTGTTGAAACCAGTTCTGGAGCCTTCTCAGCTCCTCATGTGGTTTTTGCTCAGGCTCTGGCTGTGGGGGGTTCCCGGCAGCTCGCAGGCTCTGCAGAAGAGGGGATGCGGCTGAGGCCAGGCTGATGGGCGAAGCGAAAGCTGACGAAAACAGCGTTAAGAGTTTGGCAGCTTCCTTTTTCAGTGTGCAGCGTGCCCTCGGCTGTTGGCTTTTGGGAGGAGGGAGGAGGTTGCTCTCAGGCCCTGTGCTTGGGTGGGGCGAAGAGCAGGCGTTTGGCTTCTGCTGGGTGCAAGGCTGAGGTTGTGCCTTTAAAAAGAAAAAAAAAAAAAAAAGAGGAAAGGAAAGGCTGAGAATGAGTCACTGGAAAAAGCACATCGTCCTTTTTCAGACCCGCGATGCAGCTGTGCAAAGGCCCGCCAGGACGGCCCAGGGTTTGCTCGGGGGACGGGAGTGATGGGGCGCCTTGCTGGGGTGGCAAAGGGAAGATGCTGGAACCCCCCAGCCTGGGGGTGGATGTGGCCCCCATGGTCCCCAGGGGATGCAATCGTGCTGGTGGGACCCAGCTCAACTGAGGGTGGTACTTGAGCTGCACAGGAGCCACCCCAGGCAGACACGGGCAGTGTGGGAGAAGCCCTTGGTCCTACGTGAAGGGGCAGAAACTGCTGCTTTTGTGCCTGGGAGCCAGCTGAGCCGATGGGGAAGACACCAGCCTGGCTGGTTTTTTGGGAGAAGCAGGAACCTGCTGTAATGAGCTCTGTGGGGCAACCAGGTTTCGCTTCCCACTTCCCCGGGACCGAGCAGCAAGGCTGCTGCGGA